CTTTTTCTGACCACTAGGACAGTGCTCTAATTTTAAACACTACTCAAAGGACCAAGGCTAGTACACCACCGACATCACCATACCCACTGACCACCGAAACCAGTAACAATACCTGGGTAAAAGGACAGCTGTTGTTCCCACGTGTCACTTTATTTACCTCTCTCTTTTTATTTCATCGTAACTCTGAAAGCAAGCGGGCAAGGGTGAGTATTCTGATTTAAGGATACTGAAAACAAGCAGAGGAAACCAGAGCACTTTGCACTTTTATTCAGGGTTTCTAAACAGGACAAGTACATCAACTATTCAAATAAGATGAAGTAAAAACATAAAACTGAGTTCTGTGAGAGAATTTTGTGGGTCCCAGTTTTAGTTTTCAACTTTTGGGTTTTTCTATACCCTGAACCTGTGCATTTATGTAAACAAAGATGACAAAGAAATAAACACAAGGATTGCCACCTAGAGTTGATAATTTATTTTACCATGACCCAGAAGAGAAACAACATAAGAGAATATTACAAATTCCCACAATTTCTTTCCCAAACTTTTGCTACTCTAACATTTATCAGGCATCACTGGGCTTGTAACGGGCCACTGACCATACAGTTCTGTTGTCATTTCTCTTTAACTGAAACTTTAGTTCTTGATGAAGGTTTCAAATTATTTTAGTGAAGGAGTTCCCTGGATTGAACAACAACAAAAAACCCTCCAAGATTCCATTATTTAGCGAAAAGAAGCCTTTCTAGAAATGTCAAGGATATTAAATTCAATTTAAAAATCACTTAGTGAGCATCTAAAGCACTTGGACTCTTCAGACACTGGTAAAATGAAAAATCCAGTTTTTAACAATAACTTAATTCTGCAGGTATACAAAGACAAGGAAGTTTCTTCTTTTGGTCTGATTCTAAAATAATCTGCACAGATTACTTTTATCTAGTCTACAAATAAACAAGACAATGCCTGAGTTAGCTCTCTATATAGATTTAGGCTTATCATGTTGACCTGGTTGTAATAATCTATATTTAACTAAAAGTTAATAAAAATACATATGCTCATTTTAAAATAATTACTGATTTTGCTTGCATAACCAACCCTTACCCCTACACTTATATATTTTTAGGACAAGATTTTCCTGCATAATCACACTCTGCTTCCTCCCACCCCACCCCCCTCATACATGTGTTCAAATAAGAACCCCTGCTACCAGCAGAAGCTTTTCTAAGTCTAACATGCTTTGTCCTTGCTAGGGCAGACTAGAAACTTTAATAAGCAGCCGAAAGCTGTTACCAGCTGAGGTGAAGAGGAAGGCAAGTGAGCACTAACTTCAATACATCCCCAGCTTTCTCTTCTCTCTGGCCTCATTCCTCCCCCTCAACAGAGTGTGGGGCTATTGTAACTCTTCCTTTACTTCCTGGTGCACCTGACTTTGATGAGATGGCCCAGGACAATTGCAGCTGCCTACTCCCTTCCCTGGACCAAAGGAACTGAAAACCCAGATCTGAAACTGGATTGAAGTCCAAGTTTCAGTGCTGCCTCTTCCAAGCACTCACAGATCTCATTTTTTGTATCTTCAAGCTCGTCTCACTACTTAGTGAGTGCTTGCTGAAGGGAGAGAATTTTAAAGACCAATTAACTTTGCTGATTACTGTGTAGTTTGAAGTGAATTATAATTCTTTCAATAAACGGAGGTGTGAGAAATCTCCAAGATTTTTTTAAAAAGGGGGAGGGAGCAGTTAAAAATTATAGTAGACCAGTTATGGTGGTGGTCATTAGTAAACAGAACCAGACAGTATGAAACTAAATTTCCTGTATTATGGGATGTGAAATTATTTCCCAAACTTCTGTTTGACCTGAAGAACTGGAGATGGCTTACCTCCCTATAACGTCGCATTAGTTTTACAAAATTCTGAAAAGTAAAATGGGTAACTGCATTTTCAGATGTAATAAAAAATTAATCTGAATAGTAAAGTAAGTAACTGCTTTTTGGAAAACTTTTCAAATAATGCTTTTTAAACTCTCCAGAAGGAGCTGAGATAAAAACCAACCCTAACTTCTAAGAAACGACCTAGTCATACTACTTTGTATTTCACTTAATCTGCAGTCTTTCATTTGTTTTCCCTATGGGGAACCCCAGTACTCTCAAAAATATTTCTGAAAAGTTGCTCAGAGTGTGATGCACAAAAATAGGGCTCACCTGCCAAGTATTGCTGTCACTGTGTGACTGCATTTCAACACTGTCACACCGATTGACACGGTCAGTTTCTTGCACGAAGACGGCAGGATAAACTCGGTAAACTGGCTTTGGATAAATAAGTCAGCATGCCTTATTAGGAATAAAAGTTTCTGATGAACAAAAACTTAAAAACTGTTCATAGGTATGACTCTTCCCAAAACCTCTTTCCTAATAACCAGAGAAGAAGGGGTGCGGGGGAAGGTACACAGGAGCAGAGCCAAAGGGACTCTTGCAAATGGTTCAGATTACCAACACTTCTACAAGGCCCCACTGGATGCACTGAACCTGCTTCTCTAGAAACAGCCCATCTTGGTGTGTTCACATCTTGTTTCCCAAGCATCAAGATTTAAGAGTTAGTGGGGAAGCAGGTCTATGATTTATAGAATCTACTCAGCTTAAGTGGTCCCACTGGCCACTCTAGTTCCTACTTCCTGGAGAAGACCCTCCTCCCAAGACAAGCTCAGCAAATCCATCCATTCCCTTCACTCACAATGGTGTTCCAGAAGCTCAGAGGTCAACTTCCCAGTTTTGAAGAGAAAACTCTAAGAAGCTGTAGATGTTGACAGAAGTTGTCCTGCTTTGGTGCCCTATTAACCTGTCTCTCCTCGTGAATTTCCAACTTCTTCTCTTGATTCAATTAATAAAAGCAGTAAGCTGTGAAGGCTTGTTCCCTTTCATATCCTTCCTTCTCAGTTCTGTGAACTGACTTTTTACCTATAACCCCATCAATTTTTTCACTACTCACTCCAAAAATTCACTTTTTTGGAGTGATGGGTTTTGTCAAATAGATTAAAATAAAATACATAATCTGTTTACAGGGAATATACAGAATAACAGGAGTTAGAGGTACAAAACACACACTGACATCATGGCCATACAAAATATATAGAAGTACCCAACATCAACAATTTTCATAAGAAGTTGTACATTTTGCTACTTTAGCATTTCCCCACATTGTTTTCTTCTGTGGATCCTCTGGAGTTAAGATTGAGCTTCCTCTGCAGTGTTTCTGAGCTGTACCACATGATTGGGACGTAACAAGGGAATTTGTTTTCTGTCCAAAGTAATGACTGCTACACGTGTAAGTTTTCCTCACATATAGTTACATAAAGTTTTATTTACAGTGTAAGTTTTCTGATGCTGAGGGCTGAGATGTGATTCAAGGCTTTGCCATACTTATCACATTCAAGAGGCTCTTTACTGGAATAAATTCTCTGATGTACACAGGTGTGAACTGTCCCATGTAGCAAACATGTCAGTTTCTCTACACACATTTAGCAGTTTCACTTTTATGCCTTTAATACTAAGTGCCTTACATACTGAGATGTCTCACACATCTATGTTTAGCCTTGCCTGCCAGGCTGTGGAGTAGAAACAAATACCCCACAACCTAAAGAATCTTACTTTTCCTTCCTTGCAAGGTAAAGGTCTATTTTTAAAAACTCTTCAGAAAGTTCCATTAGGTCAACTAGCATGCTAATGGTTAACTATAAAGTACGTGAACTGTGAACAGATGTCAGTCAGTTAAGAACTCCTGAATGACTATCCTGAGCAGTAAGATGTTGTCGGCGTTTTTGACCATGACCCAGTGACACTCTGCACTGGGCATCTGATAAATGAATGCGACACAAATGGTTTTAATAACCAGTTGTAGCCTGTTTTCCTCAGAAGACACACCTTCAATAGCTGCCTCAAAGGGTGCATCTGTGGAAAATCTAAAGCAACCCCAGTGACTACCAACAAAGTCAGTGGATGTCCCAATAAAATGGTAATCAAATGTGGGGACACACGTCTTATTTAATTAACAAAAAAAGATGGCTGAATTATGCCAGCATGTAAGTTGTGGATTAAAAAAAGAGAAGTCCAATGTGGAACTGATTGAAGTCCTGAGTCAGACCAGTCAGTTTGGAGGAGTGCCTGGAGTTGGGCACCTTGCTTTCAGTTGCTTTCTAGTGAGCCAAAGTTCTTTCAAAAGCAAGCTCATTCCTTAAAGTATGAATTCGGTAGACTCTTCTGGAGTAACTCTTCTGTTTTTCTTAAGTTGAATGAATAGAAATATTCTTGTTAACTGGCTGGACTTACTACATAGTTCTCCCAGGCAACACTGAAGAAACTGCTTAGAAGCTACAGGGAATGTGTGGTTAGTCCAAGTAGTAAGGCCAAAGAAAGGCCAAAGAATGACTGCTGTGCAGAATTTTAGCTTGGTCTGGAGCTGATGCCACATGGGGCCCCAGCTCACTGACCTTGCCATGCTATGCTGTCTTCTAGACTTCTCCTGTTGGTCAGCAAATGACTGATGAATAGTAGTTTTAGTCCTGTTTCTTGAGGGAAATATCTCAAACTGTTATGTGGGGTATCCATGCTCATAGTCTCAGGTTGCTTTTAGTTTGTTTCTAGGTTTCTGCTGGGCTGTCCACAGTCATCTGAATGTTTTCATATACAGTCATTTCTAGCCATGCCCTTGACACCTACATGGCCCATGATACTTAGGTATCCTGTATGTGTGAAACAATCTCCATCATCATGCAGGGAGCCACCTGCGTCCTTCTGCAGAGATGATGGGAAAGATTAAAGTCCCATAACCTTATCTCAGTCTTTAGTGATGAGATACAAAAGACACTGTGCACTACTACAATAATACAACCAACCACACCTCAGTGTGTTGGTAAACTTCTCAGAGCAACAAAATACCTTTAATAATTGCCAGCTGAGGATGAGAAATGCTTTTGCAAAGTCTCTGTGTGAAAAAAAAAATGCTCTGTAGCTTTTCTTCTGAAAATAATTAAAAAAAAAAAAAAACAACACATTTTCTGTAAGCATCAAATGACTCACAAAGTGCCCAAATCATCACATTATTCACAGTTTACTGAAGAGAATTATGGCTAAAATCTCTGCCATGGAAAGATGTCAAAAAATGACCTTAGTCAACGTTCATACTTTTTCTTCTTTAAGATGGTAACAATGGAGTCATTTTCTGTCATTCCATGGTATTTACTCACTCATCTATGTTTAAAACAGTCTATGCGGGCAGCCCGCCAGCATCTTTTGTTTATATCTAGGATAAAAATAGCATTAATCCTAGAGGTTTTAACATGCCTCTTGGCTCTCAAGATCCTCTTTAAAAGTTGGGTCAGGCTACCATATTTCAGGTCTCCTGATTCACAGGGCTTTTAGAAGTCATCACAGGAGTGCCATTTAAATGTCCAGTGCTGTGCTGTCAGGAATATAACTACATTCCTTGACAACTGAAGCATCTCTTTCAGGGTGTGATAAAAACTTCTGTACATGAAACAAAGAAGAATTAAAAAGACTGTATACAATCAAGTGCTCACTTTTGGAGAAATGAATTTTGGAGTGCTACAGTGCTTCAGGGACTTCAAGAAGGGAGAGAAGTGTTTTGAATCACTTTGCTATTTCATTAGAACTGATTTCAGTGATGAGGACAGAACCATCTATATTTGTTGCGGTCCTTTGGAACTGTAGACTGGTGCACAAACCCTCTTTTGGGAAGAGATAGAAATCTTTGGTTTGATACTGATCAGCACAGTCTAGATTTCTACAGCTTTGGTAGGCTACCAGTGATCAAATATGTAACTTATGGATATATAACTAGCTTGAGCAGCATGTCCCAATGTAGTTTTTGTTTCAACTATTCCTCTTTTTGGAGAAGTAAGATGCTGGCCAAGATGCAGAGCATGTTTACAGCAAGTGGTTTCTTAACCTCAGAATCATGATCACAGAGCCAATCTTGATCTGTCAATTACATGGTGAGGTTGCTGCAAGTCCAACAGTGCCTTACAAGTATCCTCACTGCTGGAAACTTGACAATTTACTCCATGTGCTTTGATCTTGTGTGGAAATATTGTATGGATTATCCATCTGACCAGCTTTTCCCTGTATGGGCTATGTGGAAGAATTGCATGCCTACAGACTGACTACACAAAGGCAGAACACTGCTGATGTAACTCTAAGGATCCTTGGGTGTGACTTTTTAAAAAGAAATCTGTTGAGGCTGTTTTTTCCCTTCATGGGCACACATCTCTGAAATAATTTTAGAAACAAAAAGGGAAATGGCTTGATGACAAATTCTTGCTTTACACACAACTTTTCAGGAATGCCCCAAACGCATCCAGGGAAGCTGGGCTGTACTCTGAGGCTCGCTCTCTGGCATGGATTCTGTGGTGCAAAGTGAGGGTGGAGCTTCGGGTGAAAGCCTTGCCACACTTAGTGCACTTATAGGGCTTTTCTCGGGTGTGAATTCTCCGATGCAAAATCAGGTATGAGTTTCGGTTGAAAGCTTTTCCACATTCGCTACATTCATAGGGCTTCTCCCCAGTGTGGATTCTCTGATGCTTCGTGAGGTCTGAGCTCTGGCTGAAGGCCTTCCCGCACTCATTACACTCATAGGGCTTCTCTCCAGAGTGGATGCGCTGGTGCAGTATGAGATTTGAGCTGTGGCTGAAGGCCTTGCCACACTCGTTACATTCATGAGGCTTTTCTCCGGTGTGGATTCGCTGATGCAAGACAAGGTTGGAGTTGAGACTGAAGGCTTTCCCACACTCACTACATTCATAGGGCTTTTCTCCAGTGTGGATGATTTTATGGCGGATAAGGCTTGAGCTTCTTGTAAAGCATTTACCACATTCATCACATCTGTGAGACTTTGCTCCCGTTGGAACCTCTTCAGGGGTATTAAAGTTTGAACTCAGGCTGAAGCTTCTTCCCAGCCCTTTGCCCTTCTCCCTTGGGCCTCTCTCTCCTGTGGTGGGTTTTTTTTCCTTGGCTGTAGCAGGCCCTGACTCTCTCTTCTCTTTTCCAGTTTTCTCCTCAAGGTTTCTCTGCTGCCTTTCAACTACTCTGCCCTGCTGTTCACGTTTCTCTCCAAACTCTTTCTGGAATCTTCCTGCTGATTCCCCATGTGACGCTGAGTCTTCTGTAGCTTCAGCCTTTGAGGTTGACTCTTCATTCTCATTCTTGTTTTCACAACCTGATAAAACAGAAAATACAAGTAATACCTTTTCCTTTTTGAAAATATAAGTCAATCAAGTAACATTATTTTCCAAGAGGATTCTATATGCCTGCAAAATGACTTCATAGTATTTTTTATGTTTTTGTTAGCATATAATAGTTGTACAGGGGGATACACTGTGATAGTTATATATGTGTTTAAAATATATCTTAGTTGGACTTACCCTACCATTCTCCTTCTTCCCCCCTTCCTCCCTTCTTAGAACAATTTCAACAGGCTTCATTCTTCTATTTTTCACATATGGATACAAAACACATCCCACCATATACACCCTCGTTCCCATCCCCTCCCATCAGTAGCCACCCCCAGAAAAGACCTATTTTTCCCTCCTGCCCTACACTTTTAAATTAAATGTATACTGATAGCCCAAGGGAGTTTTGCCTTGGTAGTTCAGGTCTGTATGTATTGTGCTTTTATTAAATTAACCCCTCCCCCCTCATTACTTACTCATTCTCCATCGCCATGCTCCCCTAACATTCAACAGCTCACTGTACAGTGCATTATATTATAGTCATATAAAGATGGGCTGTTTCAATACTTCTCATTCTCTAACATTTTCTTTACTTCTCCCATCTACAGTAGCCCCCTCAGATTCACTAATACAATTCTGTTCCCTTTGTCAATATACATATATATATATATATACACATGATCATATAGGTTCCTATGTATACACTGACTTCATAATATTAACAAAACAGAAAAACTGGAACAATGGGGAGTATGTTGGGATACAGATAGAGAATGAGAGGTCAGAGCAAAAAGAGGAGAATAACAACAGAGGTTACATGAGCAGGATGTGAGTAAATAAACAGGCACAGTGGAAAACCAGCAGTTAAGGAAAGAAGGCTGAGGAAATTAAGGGACTTCAGGGATGACAATTCTATTACATGATCACTGGACAATTAATTGAAGGAACATGTATTTAAAGTCATGTTCCATTTCCAGCAAATATTTGTAAGTTTTAAAAAAAGAGAACAGGTAAATCTTTGCTAGAAAATTGTTAGTGATATTAGCAGAAAGGAATATAGTAAGAAAAAATAAAAAGAGAAAAAAAACCAAAGAAAAACAAAAAAGAACATATTTTAAGAAGGACAAGCAAATATTCCCTCAGTTGTTAGCATTTGATCAACAAGGTGATGGGAACTCTTGTCAGGTCACGGAGTCCTTCAGAAAAAGGAAGCAGTTTCCCTCCTCCAGGAAGAGCAGTGCAGAGCTGCCTGTGTTCAAGTACTGGAGATGGGTGAAAGGGCTGGCTAGGGCTGCACTAGTGACATAATGAAAGCCTTCGCCACCTGACACTGAGAATAACAGAACTGAAAAGAATTCTAGAGGCACCCTGGGAGAGATGAGTAAACAAAATTTTACCAATTTTGTAGAGCTCTCACTGTCATTTTAGCAACCAGTATATTAACACCAGAGTCTAATTTTTACTGTACAATGCTGCATATTATGTGCCATCTTGCTTTTAAGGGAAGACTGAAAATTGTTCAACAGACATACACAATTTTACATGTTCCATTTGTGCAGGGAAAAAACAATGTACCTCTACTATACTCTTTATTTACTTGGCCTTAAGAAATCTTTCCTAGAGGAAAGGTACGATCTCAAAATGCCCCTGAATGTATTGGGTGGAGGAGCTGAGTAATATCCAACCCCTGACTTTAGTCAGGAAATCTCCAGAAGTACTGAACCAACTGCAAGGAGGAGGAACCCGATCATCTTCTTCAGAATTCCAAGCAAGGCCCTTGGCTATCTGGACAGTTCTAAGCGTGTTTCTTTTTTTTTTGGTGCTGGGTTTGAACTCGGGGCCTTATACTTGCTAGGTGGTAGGTAGGTGCTCTACCACTTGACTCATGCCTCCAGCTCCATTTAAAAAAAAAAAACCAGTTATCAGAATAATAGCTTATAAACACACAACAGTCCTCTGGCTTAATTTCTACCTTGTACAAAGAGCACTAGAATATATAAACCCCATTTATACTTATGATCCAAAGTCTGTCTTTATTTTTTTGAATTTCTTTAGTAATGTATTTTCTCCATATTCACTCCTCACCCTTGCTCTGCCCTCCTGAGATGTCTTGCTATGAACTTCCCTAATACTGTACATATCTGAGGGTCTGTTGGTGGCACTGTCTCCTAGGGATTAAGATCAAGCAGAGGTCAATGCAAATGTGCCAGGTGGGTAAGTCACTTTGTCTTATGTGGCTGATGTATCTTAAACTTCTTCATTTTTACTATACTCTCAGAACCCAAAGCTCTTCATGGAAGATGACTGTTAGTTTTGGAAACTGAGAACTGATGCTAAGAGAGGTCCAGGAACAAGTCTGCAATCACACAAAGCTGTCTCTGAGCGGTGCTCACACAGGATAGAAGAAAACAGAAGCCCCTGGGAGGATGCATGGTAGGTTCAGGAACGTGCTGCCAGGACAAAGGGCTGGGATTAGACTAATGATCAGATCACCTGGTCATCTCTACCAGGAAAAAGAGATTCTCCTGACAGAGGCAACTAAGGCGGAACCCACAGGGCAGAGCAGAATCCTCCTAGGTGACCTAATGGTTGAAGAGGTGAGACTCAAGAACAAAAGAGCTTATTTCTGATTTCAAAGAGGGAAAGCTAGCTATAGGTAAAAGACCTATGGGAATCAGGGAGTCATGGAACCATTCTTTTGGAGTTACACGAACACAAATGTCCTCTCCCTCTGTTCAGGACACAGGTCAGTAATTTTTAAATCCTTATCACACTCAATTGCATACATCAGAGATCCCACAACTAACAAATAGAAAGGCAAAACAATATCATCAGACACGAATCCTGTGTCAGTCTTACCCTGGGAAAACACGTTCCCATAATTCTCCTGCCTGCTGTCCCTACTGAGATTCCTCCGAGCCAGGTTCTGACATCCCCATTCCTCCAGGATGAGGGATACTGCCATGTCCTCGATCTTCACCATTGCCTGAAATAACAGCAGATTCCCATGCTCAGTTCCCCCAGGGACAGCCCTATTGCCCAAACGTGGAGCTGGGGACAGAGGTGACTGCCAGGCTACAAGACACTGAGAAGTAACATGTGACCAGAGCCTTGTGGACTTAGGAGTTTGTGGTAGAAAGACACTGACAGAGAAGGGGGGGGGGTTCCTCTGCAGAGGGGCATCAAGAGTGAGTGGCCTGGTGGCGGCAGTGAGAGGAGCTCCAGGCAGAATCAAAGACTGGGACTCAGGAGGGCAGAGGGGCCCATGGCTCACCTGGGAATCTGCCGTCAATAGTGCAGATGCCATCACCTGGTCTCTGGGACTCCCCTCAGGATTGGGGGCAGGAACGTGGGTAGCAGGGAGAGCTGAAGGACAAGAAAGGAGCTATGAGTAAGTCAGCTCTGCCTGGAGCTTCCCTCAAAGAAGGGCCTGGAGCACTCTGGTTCCTTCACCAGCTGTTTGCTGATCAACGTCAGGAGAGAGAGCTCCACAGAACACAAACAAGATGAAGCAGAACCTTCAGTTTCCCTAAAACTTCATAAATGGGAGCCACAAGGAGTCATCAAAACATCCTTAAAACTACCTGCCCTAACCTATTACATTAATGAAGAAGAAAATGAGGTCCCAAGAGGATAAATGTGTTGTCTAATGTCATTCAGTTAGGAACAGCAGTCAGGTCTGGAACCCAGGTTCCTATTTTCAGCTACAGAATGGTAAGTAACACTTAGCCCATGCTTCAAATCTGGCTCATACTTTCCTCCAGCCCAATGAAACAGCACCAGACATCAGAATCCCATTTGTGCCTAGGCTTGTGAAATACACTATCTTCCATAGTAATATCTAGAAAGGCAAGGAGGAGGGGCATCTTCTTATATCTAAGTATGCTTTTGCTATTTTTTGTCCCTCTACTTTTTTTCCTTTAGCCATAATAAAGGTGTGGGTTGACATAAAAAAAGACACCCATATATGTCATATGATGATATCAACCGTATGCAATGTACAGGAACAATTAGAAAAAAATTAAAACTCTACAATTAAACCCTCTTTGCCCTCCCCTGGCCAAGTATTAGATTTGGAAATACTACTGGTAGACACATAATGGTAACTGGAGTTATAAAGGTGTAAGAGAAATCAATTTGAAACTGAATTGCTAAGCCTTGGATCTAGTAAGAAAGGCTAAAGCGAACTGTACAGAAAGACCAAGAACCTGGCATTTTAATCTTTGAGCCAGAAAACACTGGAAGATGAATAGGTTAAAGAGGAGATGGAAATTAAATGTGTATGTCTACATTTACTCTAGAACAATTTACTAAATTACAACTCTACACACAGGTCTCTACAACTATTTTCTAGCAATCTGATGTGCTAATCTGGTGCTTACAGCATGAATATCCTCTCTAATGTCACTTTCTGTGACTTCTGCTTGTGTAGTGTGGAGACACCCCACAGATCCTGGAAGGACACCAACAGTGATGGAGTTAAATACCACAGTGCATGGGTTCATGTGGACTTCCAGCCTGTGCCTGCTAGCTGTACTTCAGAAACTTGAAGCACCACCATCTGATATTTCTACCCTAAATTTCAACACAAACACCATGGTGAAGGTACGTGCCGTGATTAACAATTCTTGAATAACTGCAATTTTAGTTTTCAGTGTTTTTACTGATATTTTAGTTTGACTGTTAAACTTGATAAAGACACATATTTCTCACAAAGTGAAAAAAACAAAAACAAATGAAATGGAATTTATTTATATAACCCTGAACTGGTATTTTTTCTCATTTCCTCAACCAAATATAATTTTTCCAGTTGGGTGCAGTGGCTCATCTGTAATTCTACCTACTCAGAGGTAGAGATCAGGAGAATTGTCATTCACAGTCAGCCCAGGCAAAAAGCTCTCTAGACCCCTGTCTCAACCACCACCAACAAGAAAAGCTGGATATGGTGATGTGCACCTGTCATCCCAGCTATGTGGGAGGTATAAATAGGATCAGGGTCCAAACTGGTCTGGGATGACCCTATTTGAATAACTAAGCAAAAAGGGCTGGGAGCATAGCTTAAGTGGCAGGGTAGTACATGCCTAACAACTGCAATACCCTGAATTCATCAAACCCTAGTATCATCAAAAGAAAAAAAAGGGTAAACAAACAAATATATGTTTTCCTCATTCTTTTTCCATTGTTTGAAATCTGAAAATAATCCAGAAAAGAATAATGTTATACAGCATTTTAAAATAGCTTAAATAAAATGGATCTTTAAAAGATTTGTATCTGGGCACTGGTGGCTCACACCTGTAATCCTAGCTACTCAGGAGGATCATGGTTTGAAGTTGGCCCAGGCACATAGTTTCTAAGACTCTATCTTGAAAAAACCATTCACAAAAAAGGGCTGGTGGAGTTGTTCAACATGTAGGCCCTGAGTTCAAACCCCAGCACCGCAAAAAAAAAAAAAAAAAAAAAAATTAGGACTTAAGATCCTTTTAAAGATTATTTAATACATAATAAAATGTTTCAAAATCCAGGGCTGGAAGCTAGCTCTGGATCCCAGTACTCAGGAGGCTGAGGAAGGAGGATTCCAAGTTTAAGGCCAGCCTGGGCTATGGAAGACTTTGTCTCAAAACAAATAACCAACAAGACTTAAGACTAGAAATAATATATCATCTGTTTCCAACACTCTCCTAGTAGAAATCTGCTACACACCGGAATGCTAACAGTTAAATAACACGATGTCCATCGAGTTCACCAAGCATAGCTCACTTTCCTCCTTAGTAACATCATTTAGCTCTTGAGATTGGTCTCTGAGTTATATTTCCCAATATTTAGAATAATGACAATTATGTACAATAACAAAAACAAGCATCTCCTTTATCACAGGTACTCAGCAACGTGCATGGTTACTCCCATCCTGGGTCATTTTTCCCCCACGAGACTTAGCTTCTTACCTCGGGATTGCAAGAGGCGGGGTTTCCGAGATGAATGCTTGAAATGAGACTGGGTGGCCTCATGATGAAGGTCAAAGCTTGAGGACTCCTGAACTGGATCGAGAGGCACCACTCCCCTGGCAAGCATCTCAGGCCCATGAACTTGACCTGGGACCTGAGGACAACCAAGGGCTTATGGGTAAATCACATTTTTCCCCTCCACTTTGGGCAGTACTTGGGTTTGAACTTAGAGCTTTGTGCTTGTTAGGCAAGTGCTCTAACACTTGAACCACACTCCTGTTTTTCGAAAACAGGGTCTCACCATGTAGCCAAGGCTGGCCTTGATACTCCCGACTCAGCCTCGCAAGTGCTGGGATTATAGATGTGCACCATCACCCTAGGCCTGAAAAACCAGTTTTTAACTAAGAAAACACTGTACCTATACTGGCAGACGCAGAGAAAAGGACAGGCCACATCTTTTTTTGAGGGGTTCAGGGGCTTGAATGTGGGGCCTTGCAAATGGCAAGCACCCCTGAGCTATATACCCCAACCCCCAGAACACTGTGAACAGACCAGGAGAGCAGGAAAGACTCCTAATACTAGTTTTAAATCAGTGACTTTCTCCAAGCTCCAATCCATGCCCTTGTCATGCATACAGTTTCATCTTCTTTTACCTGCTGTCCAGACAGATCAAGCTCCAAGTCTTCCAGAAGGGTCACGGCCTCCTCTCCACTGTCGGGCCGGTACTCCTGCAGCCAGACCTGGAGCTCCTTGGGTAGAATGGAAAGGAACTGCTCCAGCACTAGCAGCTCCAGGATCTGCTCCTTGGTGTTTATTTCTGGCCGCAACCACTGATGACAAAGTTCCTTCAGTCGACTCAGAGCCTCTCGTGGCCCAAAAGTGTTCTGGTAACAGAAGCGCCTGAATCGTTGGCGGAATATCTCTGGGTCAGGAGGAGGCGTCTCCTGCAGGCTGGAATCCTGCCCCCACATGTGGTCATCTTCATCTTCCTCTTCTACCTTCACGATTACGATGCCATCTTTCTCCTGTGCAGCCTGGGGGGACAGACCCGTAGCTTCCCTTGACTCAGCAGTCATCGTTCAGGCTCAGGGAACAGATGAACAGAATGTGAGCCAAATGGGGTCTGTGCTGGCCTTTTTTCACCCCCTACCAGGAGCTGTTTTCAGTGTTTCTGTATTATTCCTGCAGTATGAAAAAAAAGTTATGAGTACCTTTATAAGAAGTGATGTGTGCTAATGCTTCATACCAGTCTACATATTAAGGCGTAGGAATGCTTCTGAGTAATAAAGGAAGAAACAACCAGAGCTAGACTGTCTCTAATTTCAAATAGTGACCTCCACTGTCAAGATGGAGCAACTTGCTTGCAGGTGTATAGTGGTTTATGAAATGGCACATTTACAACGCTCAGCCCTGTGAGAGTTGAATGTCTACAGGGGACTGAGGACTAGGCTAAGTACAGCACATGCACAATCTTCTTTTGTCCCCACAACCACCTTAGCAGGTAGGTATATGTGTTAGTACCATTTTGCAGATGACATAATTGAAGCTTAGATAGCTTACTAGATGGCTTAAGTAACTTGCTCAGTAGCAGAAGGCTATCTAGTATTCAATCTGAGGCCCATGAGGACTTGCTAATGCATCATCTAGCTATTTTTATTACTTCCATGGCATGGCAGTCTAGCACTGTGGTTTCCAAAATACAAGATGATCTAGGGATACAGAAAAAGAAAATATCAAAATGTCTACACATTTTAAAAGTGAGAAATTAACTAACACCCTCACTTGGGCTAAATGTTGAACTGTCACAGCTCATGCAGGGTACCAATACATCCTGAGGGAAGAGAAGACAGCCTCTTCTTTCCCTTTACTCCCTCTGTCATCTTTAGGTTTTGATGTATGCTGGCTTATGAGTCCAGTTCTGTGAAACTTTTCTATCTGGCTTTAACTAATCTCAATTTCATGAGACCTACACAGACTACAATTAGAGGAAATAGTCATAATGCAAACACAAGTGAATAGGAAACCAGCATAGTAGAGGCTTCTATTGAGAACAAGGTCTTAGCCAAATTAGGGTTAGAAAAACCTAATGTTGATCTGAACTAAAGTCCTAAGGAGAAAGCAGCTGGTTAAAAAAAAAAAAGTGTGAGGAAGTAGTAATTACGAAAACAGATGTAGGGAGTATTTCCACTGTTATATAATTCTAACTGCCACAAGTGATACTGAGGACCTGGGGGAAAAAGAACCATCACGTGTACATGCTTTAAAATTTGCTATTTTCTGACCAATTTAATAATCTTCCAAATGAAGAATTTTAGTGGAATTAAAGCCTGTTTGTTATAAATAAATAAATAAATAAATAAATAAATAAAATGCAACCTTCTGATTAGCTTGGAAGAGCTTATGATCTAAGGTCAGGGAAAATGAAAACGTACTCTGAATTTCAACAAGTCTGTAGCATGGATGGGAGATCATGAGTTGCTGAGCAGAACTGACAATGTGATTCTTTCATCTATCTACATATCTTTGGAAGGACTTTTTTCACTTTTCCAACCACCAAAATCGAAGTTTTAGAAACAGACCATCCAATTGCTTTATCACAGTGAGTTAAACTTAGAGTTTTACTTATTTATTTTGCTGTGCTGGGATCTACCCTAGGGCCACACTTATGCTAGGCAAGCATTCTACCATTGGGCAATACTCTCAGTGCAAACCAAGGGTTTTAAACTATCAAAGGATTTATAATTACATGGCTGTCACTTAAAATTATAAAGTTTTAGTAGAAAAGAGATCATGCACATTTAATAACAAAAAATATCTTTAAGTAGCACAATTTAATGTATGCTTATAAATTTTGGTAGAACAGCTCAAGGATGTAATTTACATAGTTCTTTTTACTGACAGGAATGTACAGTAGTCCCCCTTGTCTGCAGTTTTACTTTCTGTTGTTTCAGTTCAGCTCTGATTTCTGCCTGTTCAAATACACACAACATACCAAGGTCAGTGAAATACTGCTCTAGTACACTTCTGCCCATTCCCTCCTTCCCTTTAATTACATCAGAGGGTCCCTGGTATCTACTAATTCAGCATTCAAGGGTCTCTGCCTTCACAACACACTCTACTCTTCCAGTCTTACCTCTCATCACTTTCACCACCCCATATTTCAGCCTATTTGTCCCTTTACTATTACCCTTCTAACCCAAGCATGGGGCCATGACTTTCCTGAGCTTTTTGCTCCTTTGCTGTGAACACTCTCCCACCACAGCAACTTAATTAATTTTTTTGGTGGTGCTGGGACAGGCCTTGTGCATACAAAGGCAAGCACTCTACCACTGAACCATGTCACCAGCTATTGGTCAAATTTTTACTCACCATTCAAGATGCACAAATCTCTCTTGAAATCCAAAGTACATAAAGGTATCTTCCTCCTTTGAACACCCTTAATACTTGGTTTTTTTATGGTACTTATATTCTCATTATTTGGGTTACAGTTCCTGTATTCTACCTCCCAACTAAATCTAAGTCACCCAAAGGGAGGCTTATCTCCTAGAGAACCTGGCTATTTAATTGTTAAAACTGTACAGATGGAAAGAACTACCCTAAGTATTCCAGCCCCCCTCCACCCTCTTATGGTGGCAATGAACGGTATTAGGGGAAACAAGTAGATATTAGACATATTCTCATTCTCAGTTGCTTAGGCTCATCATTCTTTATTCCTCTCCCTCCTTATACCCTGTCAGTTCCCAAGGACCAGGGACTTGTTCTTTGTTCATACTACTGTCTGATCTAATCTCATCAAGTCCAGGTTCTTGTTTGGTTCTCTTCCTTCATTTTCTCCCTTTCCTCCCACAATTCATCTGCCACTTTACCCTCAAGATTATCCTTCTAAAATTCTAGTCTACTCCAGTACCTGCTTCTGCTTTCTTCTCAAGCTGTATTTCCCATCAATCCTGGACTCCATGAACCTTCCCCATCCAGCAAAATGAGTCTTAGCAGCCTCTCTTGCAGGTGCCTAGTATTCTGGTGGCTCTCCTTCCCTCAATCACACACAATGCCTGGAATTTCCTCCCTAGTCCTCTCTGCATTTTCAAATCCTACTTATCCTTCAAAGCTAAGCTAAAATGCCACTTCTCCCCCTCATCACTGCTCAAGAACCCTCTAGTAAGTGCAACAGAAAGAGCCAACATTTACTGAGTGCTTGCTAGGAACCAGATAGTATATTGAGCACCTCACTTGGCTGCACAACAATCTTACACGGTAGCCACAATTATCAACTCACTTTTTAATGATAAAACTGAGGTTTACTGACATTAAATAATTTACCCAAGGTCAAAAAGCAAGCAAATGTACAGCTAAATCTGTGGCTTTTCAGTGCAACTTCTTTAACCATTATACATGTGGGACAGGGAAGGGCTTCTGGCTGCATACATTCTAAAATGAAGGCCTATGAAGGTGACTATCCAGTCTTCACTAGCCACTGTGTGACTGAAGCCATTCCTGGGAAGAACAGAACAGGAGATGCAAATCTGTGGAAGCTAGAAATCTCTACTTTTGTGTGTATTTTATCTTATTTCTATGAAGGAGCAAGACATACCTTAGGTTATTGGAAATCAACAAGAAGAGGCCCAAAGTGACAGAGACAAAGGGGTAAGACACGGGCACATTCCCTCTGTCCCCAATTGGGGCAGGTCCTCTTCCCCACACTCAGTATTTCTTTACTTCTACTCTGGGCCAAAGACGAACCCCAACAGTAGAAGGGTAAGGTTTCATTTCAGGTCCCCCAGATGATTTGAACACACAATATTCTCTTTTGCTTCAAAAGGCCCTAATTCTCCAAGTATTTGCTGTGTGATTTCTTATGTTGCTTCTTTGTCTATCATTTGATTTTGTTTTTTGCCTTCTTCTTCAACTACACTATTGTTAAAGACATGTTTCTTTGTACTTCTTAGACCACTTAGCAAGATTTCTTGCAAGCATTATTTAAAATAAAAAGCTCTTGACTGAACTTACAAGACAATATTTTGCCCATTCTTCTGCATTCACTCAAATTTGTTCTACAGTTTACCTATAAGTGTTTCCTGTTAGGGTTAAAGCTGTCAACCACTCACTAGTTGATGATCTTAGCCAAGTTAACCTCTATTATCAATGTCCTCAGCTGCATACTGGGAACAAAACCAGTTATTTGCCTCATGGAATTGTTAGGAGGATTAAGTTAGTTAACACAGATGCCACATCTGACATCTAGCAGTGTGGGAGAAAATTTCTTTTGTGGTATTGGGTTTTGAACTCAGGGCCTCACACTTGCTAGGCAGGTTATCTACCACATGAACAACTCCATCAGCCCTTTTTTGTGTTGGCTATTTTCAGGATAGGGTTTCTTGAACTATTTGCCCAGGGTGGCCTCAAACCTCCATCCTCCTGATCTCTGCCTCCTGAGTAGCTAGGATTACAGCCATGAGCCACCAGCACCCCGCTAAATTCTTTAAAATAAATTTAAGAGATATACATTCCAACTTTATGCATGGCTAAAAGATTAGCCTGTGAAAGCAGCACAGGCTGGAACAACTGAATTTTACTCTCCTGCAAATAAATCACATATCCCTGAGTGAGTTACTTAACTTCTCTGGCATTCAGTGTCCTTATCAGTCAAATGGAGTGTGTATGTGGGGATATGTATGTGTAGAAAGCTAGCTTTGGGGTTCCTCTAAAAGACATTTTGACATACCATCCATTTTAGGTAAGCAACCAGTTCTCACCAAAGACAAAAATAAACGATTTTCTGACAAAAAAGGCTTGGGATTATAAATTCAGTTTATTTCAACAGTTGTTTTCTCAAACAGTGCATAGTTTTGCAACCCTTAAAAGAATATAGATACTACTACAGAATGAAAAGTTATTTAGCACATTAGTTTACTTGTAGTTAGATGCAATATAAAATATTTGAAAAATTTCAAATGCTTACATCAGGTAGAGAACCAGCAAAAGATAACAGATGGGAGAAAGGGACTGCCTAGTAAGCTTGAAGCCCTAAGTTCAATTCCCAGTATTGTCAACCACCGACCCCCCCTGTTTGTATTTGAAGATAAACTGTCTGAAATAATGAGCAAGAATCTTGTAAAGTAATTCAGAGAAAACAGAAACCTGCAGAAACATTTTGGGGCAAATCTTCATTACGGTTGTCTAGGTAATGAAACTGTTCCTTCACATTTGGCCAGCATGTATAGTTAACGGTGCTTTGTTGATGTGGTCACAATAAACTCTCCACAATTCAACAAGTATTTACTGACCGCCTCCAATCCGCCTACCACTGGACTGTACAATAAATGCTTTCTTTGGTCCAGGGCCATGTTAACAGCTACTCTCTATAATGAAAGTGTCTTTTTGTGTACTGGAGGTGCTGCAGGAAAGGGCTGGGAGGGAAGGGGGAGTGTCAGGCTAAACTAGCTACATTTTTTTCAATTGCAATGACCAAATTCAATCATTTTAAAGTTGGAAGGTTGGGGGGGGAGGGCCTTTGGAGAAAAATCTAGTTGATTTTATGGATGGTAAACGTGTCTTACCCAAGGTCACTCAGCTAATCAGTCTCCTACTGGTCCAGAGGTTACTTCCATAAATTCCCCTCACTCCTCATCCACCCCAAGTCAAGCAGAGTGAGCTTTAAAATCCATCAAACTTCCCAGCTAGCTCACTTAAAAAAAAAAAAAAAAGCTTTCAAAACCTCCCATAAAGCTTAAAGGGTGTTTATCATCTCTGTTTGAACTTGATCCACTATGACCAAGCCCTTTAAATCATCGCTCAGCTCAGTGTAGGGGGTGGAGGGAGGCAAAGCAGGTGATCTAGAAACATATGCGCCACCTCAAAAAGTGTCAAAATCAACCCTTCCGCATTTTTCACCTTAAGGTCCCCTCGGACCCAAAAAAGAAAATGGAGGGGAACCCTCCCCCCCAAACCAGTAGCAACAACAAAAATTACAAAAACAACAAAAACCTCTCACCGAAATCAAAGCAAATGGCGACCAAGAGACAACAGAAAAATCAGACAGGGGTCAGTTCGCTCGCGACCCCAGTTCTCAGAAACGCCAAAAGACGATGACTACACTGCACGCAAGTGGCCCGGAAGAGGTCCCGGACCTGGCTTCTCCCCAAGGGCTCCGAGCACCCCCGGCCACGGAAACCCTCGCTCCCTCCCCGCCTGGACCGGGGCAGGGGCGGGGGTGACTTCCCGGGAGACGGTTGGGCCTGGGGAGGAGACAGGGGGTTCTTTCGCACTCAGCGGGGGCCGACAAGAGGGGTCCCCGGGCCGTAGCTGCGGAGCCCACCGTCGCGCACACACCCCTGCGGCCGGCCCGCCCGCCCCTCCCCACAGGCCGGCCCCAAGTCTCACCGTGTGCCCCGGGAGCGGCCTGGGGGCGCTGGGCGAGAAAGGGGAGCTGACTCTGGGGCTCAGGCCGGCCGAAGGGCACCGCACACGAACCTAGGCCCTCCCGACGCCTCGACTCAGACACAATGAGTCACAAAGACCGGAAGTACGTCTGCACCCTGTCTTCCGGGACCGCGCTGCACTTCCGGGGCGTCTCTAGGAACTTGGGAGGACTTTGCATCTCGGTTCCTCGAGTGGCTTGCTCTGGATGGTCAAGGGTCCCCCAGCTCGATCTCTCCTCTGCCAGTTAATGCGGGGACGGAGGGGAGGTGGAAGTGACTAGATGGGTTCAGGCTATTCCTGATACAAACAGATTCTCTAGCTGACACACCAGTAAATATACAAACTTTATCCTGTTTTTTTTTTCAATCTTGGGCAGTCCTTGTAGTAATTACAGTTCTTACCAAACAATAATAATACTTAGTAGTTGTATGTTTCTGGAGGAGTTGCTGAAGCAAGAGTGTAGACAGAGGAAGATCAAAGTGAAGCCAGGGGTGGCTGGTTTCCCAAAGCTATCCTGGTGAGGTATACCCGTTGAGTGGGTGGTATTTTCAAATACTTGGCCTGTGTACAGAGGACATCTTTCCACAAACAGGCTAGTTATAAGGTTCTGAGTCTTGCTATGTGGCATATGCTATTATAGCAGTTTAAGAGGAGTGTTCAGAGCGATCACAGACACTTCTGCCTTTAAGGTGCAAACAACAATTACCGCCCCCACTTTTACCTCGCAGGGTAAGGCAAGAATGAGGCTCCACCTTGTGCAAGGTTGTGACTGTCTTCTAATACCAAGGGAAGCTCGTGGGAGAGACTGAACTGACTGCTATTCTTGGTGAGATAATTTTATTTAAAAAAAAACTCCAAAACTGAAAAACAATAATAAAAACAAAAATATTTTGGAAATGAAAGTGGTGAAAAATAATCATCTGTAATTTTTCCACCCAAACAAACCACAACTTTCCTATCTATCATCTATTTTATATATATATATACACATATACATATATGTATATAATTAAAAAAACTTTTTTGCACCTTGTTTAAAATCCAGGAGGTTGACTATTGGAGCTGTTTCTGCTGTCTGCTTTGTGTCCCTGGCTTGGGACAGCTTTGTGTACAACATATTTTATCCTTGGTTTCTGAATAAACAAGAATGATGATAACAGCATGGAATTGAAATCAACCTCAAGGTGAATATTCACCATCTTTAAGTTTCTCAGTTATCACTGCCATAAGGAATCTATCCTGAGCTAGTTCTCTAGTTCATAAGCCACCTTCTACCTTCACCTCAAGCCCTCTGTTTCCTCCAGATCCTTCCTCATGTCTCCTTTGACAATCTTTTGGAGCTTTTATTCTACTGAGCAGTTGTGATTTCTTTTTAAGTTTGTTAATCATTCCCACCCATATCTCCAAATGCCCACAAAGACAGACCAGGCAGCCAATGGCTGGAATGAGTTCATTTGTTATCTGGGATGAGATGAGATTGTGGGGAGATGGTCATCTGTTGAGTACATGCCCTAGCTGAGCCAATCAGTCATTCTTTAGTTCATTGATGCCAAGAGGAGTATGATCTCAGAATTCCCATACTCTCATTTTTCCAAGAAAAAACAGAAATTGATTTTTAGGTGAAATTTCTCGCATTTTAAATGGTACTCAGTAGGGCTTGGGGTAAAACTCAGTGGAAGAATACTAGAGTAGTATTCATGAGGCTCTAGGGTCTATCCTCAGTACAGCCTAAACAAACAAACAAATAAATAGTACTTAGCAAACAGACAAGGGGCATATTGCACAGGGCACATAAACATACCTACATCCATGCCTTCTAAGTTGAGTCCAGACAGGTGTACCTAGCTTTTCTTATCTTAAGAGGCCCAAGGCTAAGGGTCCTCTCCTTAATTAAACAAGGTCCCTCATAGACTTTCTGTAAACCAAGAGCCACCTGCCTATGAGGGGAGTGCTGACTTTTTCCCACAAAATGGGAGCACAGTTGCAATTCTTTTCCTTTCCAGGAATAGTGTCCTTTCCTTCAGGTTGCATGGGTATGTTGTCTGTGCATCCTGGGCATAAGCTCACTAGGTCCTCACAGAAGGAAATTGGCCCTGGATGTTGAGAGATACAGCTGGTTCCTCTTGGCATTACAGCCTTAGACGAGAATCAAACTTCTCAATAATTTTTAGGGTCTTTAGTGCTATGGAATTGATGATGACCTTGAACAGACTCAGCATTGCAAGCTGTTCACTGGCCTTGTTTGTAGGAGGGCTAGTAGTCCTCAGGCAAGGTAGACAGCTGTAGCAGGGGGAGAGTAGGATACAGAAGGCTCCAGTGGATGGATGATCCAGAGAGAGACAAAGTCCAGGGTGAGGAGACCTCAGCCAGGTCCCAGTCAACACTTTCTGTCTGTATAAACTTCTTCCATCATTTCTTCTCTCAGCTGCAGTAGGTCACTAAAAAACTAAGTAGAACAATATCTCATTCTTCTTTTTACCATCCACAATGAGATGAGTTAACACCCGTGAAAATCTCATAAACTGCTACTCAAATATTGATTTGTATCACAGCAATGGGGCTTTTGTCAGGTGAGTGTGATGAGGGCTGGGGTGGGGACAGATTTGTAGATAACATTTCTGTTATACTTTCTCCTTCTGAAAAACAGAGAACAAATTTTTCAGAAACTACGAGGGACAAAGATCAGCTTGGCAGAAAAAAATGCATAAATCCATTTGTAGAACACAAATACTAAGTCAGAAATATTAGTCTCTGTATAAGAAAAGGGATATATGTTTGATTTTTTTGTAGTACTGGATTTTGAACTAAGGGCCTTACACTTGCTAGGCAAGTGCTCTACTGCTTGAGCCATGCCTCCAGTCCATTTTGCTCTGGTTATTTTTAAAATTTTATTGTTTTTACATTTACTTACATGTGTATACATTATTTGGGCCACCTTTTCCTCCTCCCCCCTGCTCTGGTTATTTTGGAGCTAGGATCTTGCCTTTTTCCTGGACTGGCCTGGATCTTGATCCTCCTAGTTACCTTCTTTCACACAGTTGGGGTGACAGGTGTGTGCCACCACATCCAGCTTTTTTGTTGTTGTTGAGGTGAGGGTCTTGCAGACTTTTTTGCCTCACTGGCTTGGAACCATAAACCTCCCAATGTCAGCCTCTTGTGTAGCTTGGATGACAGGAATCGCTGCACCCAACTATTGGTTGAAAAGGGGTCTTGTGAATTATTTGGCTGTGCTGGTCTTGAACTCTGATCCTTCTGATCTCAGCTTCCCAAGTAGCTGGGATTACAGGTGTGAGCCATGGGTGCCCAGTTATGCAGAAGATTCTTATCCTTCTAAGCGTGATTTTGGTTCTGGTCATATCTGGTGGCTTCATGCAGAAGGCTATAGAGTTCCTTCTATGTTCCTGATTGATCCTTAGTGTCAGACTGGGGTCTAAATCTTTGCTGTAGGTGTTTGGAAAAATTGGTTAATCTTTCTGAGTCTTTGTTATTGTGTTGGGCTAAACTGTGTCTCCCCTTCCCAAAAGATGCATCAGAGTCCTTACTCCTAGTGCCTCAGAATGTGACCTTTTTTTGAGGTACAGTTTTTAAAGAGGTAATTAAGTTAAAATAAAGTTATAGAAGCTGTCTGTAATTCCGTATGACTGATGTCCTTAAGAGAAAAGGAAATTTCAACACCTGCATGTACAGCAGAAGAAAGACCATGTAAAGATATAAGAAGATGGCTTCCTACAAGCCAAGAAGACAGTGAATCAACCATACCACACCTTTTGGACTTCTAGATGCCTGAATCATGAGCCAGTAAACTTCTGTTGTTGGAGCCTAACAAACTACTGGCAGCCCTCACAAGCTACTGTAGTTCCTCAGCTAGAAACCGGATGCAGTGGTCCCTAACCCACAGGCTATTCTGAAGACACATGGGTAAAGATGGCGGGCAGGTGCCACAGAGTTTATAACTTGATCTACTTTGAAGGTCCAGGTGAGTCTGGCCTTTTGAAATAGAAGTGTGTCTTCCATTGGTTTAGCTGAACAAAGGTCTCAGGCACCTCCTGAGACAGAGTTCACCCCATGGAGAGGCCATACGATAAGTTTTGCTTAGCAATGAAGATTTAGTCATCCCAGAGGAGCATCTGTGGTGTTTTTTTTCTGTTTCCTTAAGTTGAGTATGTGTATTATTGTTGTACTGGAGGTACACTGTGACATTTTCAGAAGTTCTTACAATATATCATAGTTGAATTTACCCCTCCATGGTTCTCCTTTATCTATGGGATGTTGGTGAATCTTGGTTGTCAACTTCACCAGATTGAGAGGTGCCTTGAAAGAAAATTGGTAAAGATCCCTTCTAGGTGTGTTTGTGTTCTAGAGATTGACATGTGTGCCAGCAAACTGAGCAGAAAGATCTGCCTTGAATACGGGGTGCAGTGTCCAATAAGTTGGGAGTCAGACAGAACAAAAGCAGAAGGGGAAGCTCACCAACACTCATAAGCCCTATTCTACTTGACTGGGTGCTTTTTTTGTTGCTGCTATTACCCGTGGACATCAGACTTCAGATTCTTCAGCCTTTGAACAAAGACTTGTACCAGCAACTCTCCAGAGAGCTCCCAGGACATCAGCTTCACACTGTGGCTGCATCACTCTTCCAGCTTCTTAGATGGAGCGGTTATTGGTTTCCTAGCTCTCCAGCCTTGTGACAACCATTGTGGGACTATTTAGCCTTTGATCATGTAATTGATCTAGGAAAAACCCATTTTATGATCATTTATGCATTCTATTTGTTCTGTTCCTCTAGAGAACACTGGCTAAGAGCATCTCTGAGCATCTCCAAACCCTAGTACTCCACCCCCCACATCCCTCTCTTCTGAGGAATGTCCCTCCACCCTGCCTTGGATGTGTGGTTTGAAGAGGAGGTGACTTCCCCTCATATAATGCCACCTTCCTGGTCACAGAGGCTGGTCTAGAGGTGAATGCCTCATTCAAGCTGGGTTAATCTTCACTCTGGCCACCAATTTAAGTCACCATGAGATCCTTTCAGTTCCTTCAGTTTCTTTTCATGAAACTGAAGACATGTGTGCTCT